ACCGGACCGGGACCGGCAACGGGATCGCAACCCTTGGTGTTGCTCCCACACCTTGCTCAGCCAGTGAGCGGGAACCGGTCTGTATGTGGGATCCGAACCCTCGGCGGGAGCGCCACCGCACTCCTAAGCAGCGCGCTGTAGCAGTGCGCCACCGGGCCGGCCCCTCATGTTGATTCTTAATTGCACTGGGGTCAGAGAATGTGGTCTTGTGTGATACCTAGCCTTTGAGATTTATTGAGACATGGTTTATCGGTTAATACAATGACCAGTTTTTGTAAATGTGTCATATGTGTTTGAGGTTTTATATTTTGCTAATTTTTTTCTGTATAATCTATTGATACTTCAGAACAATGAATTGATCTCCTACTAAGGTGCTGAGTTTGTCACTTTCATTTTGATTTTTGTCTATTTTAATACATATGTATACATATGGAAACAGACTATTTTATTAGGCACATATACAAGTATATGTTGTATATATTGACCCTATGCTTTCCAATCAACACATGTTGCCTTATGAATCCATTTTGTCAGATATTCCTATACCACTCAGCATTCTTTTTGATTAATATTAGCCTGGTATATGTTTTCCCAGCAGTTCTTCTTTTTCTTAATGTTTTAGGTGTTTCTTGTAAACCACATAACTATATTTTGCTTTTTTTTTTTTTCTTAACCACTCTTGACAGTATCTTACCTGATTTTTTTTTCGGCCGCTGGCTGGTACAGTGATTAAATCCTAGACTTTTTTTTTTTTTTTTTTTTTTAAAGATGACCGGTAAGAGGATCTCAACCCCTGGCTTGGTGTTGTAAACACCACGCTCAGCTAGTGAGCCAACCGGCCATCCCTATATAGGATCCGAACCCGTGGCCTTGGTGTTATCAGCACTGCACTCTCCCGAGTGAGCCACGGGCCGGCCCAAATCCTAGACTTTACTTTCATTAATTTACATTAATTTTATTTACATTAATATGATTGTTTATATTATTGGTGTGGTTTCTACCATCTTCTTTTGGGTTTTTTTTTTTTTTTTTCGTGTCCGGCAGCGGATCGCAACCCTCAGTGTCGTGCCCGCACCGGACCGGGACCGGCAACAGGATCGCAAACCTCGGTGTTGCTCCCACACCTCGCTCAGCCAGTGAGCGGGAACCGGTCTGCATGTGGGATCCGAACCCTTGGCGGGAGCGCCACCGCGCTCCCAAGCAGCGCACTGTAGCAGTGCGCCACCGGGCCGGCCCTTCTTTTGGGTTTTTTGTCTGTTTTATTCGATGCTTCTTTCTCTTTTCTTGCCTATTTGTTTTTGATCCAGTATGCAGCACATTTTATTGAAGAAAACTTTGTTTTTCCCATCGAATTGCCTTGGTACCTTTGATGAAAATCAATTGACCATATGAGTATGTGTTTATTTCTGACTATATTCTGTTCCAATGATCTATATAACTTTTTTCACCAATGTAAAATTCTCTTGATTATTTTTGTTTAATTCAAAATATTTTAACATTTACTTGTACATATATGTGGGGTACAGTATGTTTCAATACATGCATATACTGCACAACTGTCTTGATTATTATAGCTTGTTGCTGAGTAGTAAGAAAGATCAGGTAAGGTAAGTCCTCCAACTTTGTTCTTTTTAACAAATATTTTGGTTATGCAGGGTCCTTTGCATTTCACTTGCATAGAATCAGCTTGTCAATTTATACAAAAACGGCTGGTGGGATTGTGTTGAATTTATCAGTTGTATTTGGGAGAATTGACATCTTAACAATATTGAGTGTTCTAACCATGAACATTCACCAAGTATTTTGTTTTTTGTTTTTGATTTTTATTTGTATTTTGAGTTTTGTATAAGTACTTAGGCAAACATGCTTATATTTGCTTTCCCCCTTATGTTGTGTGAATGATAGCACACTGTGTTACTTTTATACCTTGCTTTTTTTAGATAATAGTATTTTGGAATTTGTCCTGTGTTTGAGGAACTCTCTCATTTTGTTTTATGGATTTTTTTTTTGCAGCTATATAAATGTATCACTTAATATTTATATTTAACTTATTTAATATTTAATACACAGTATTTAATGTTATGAAAAGGAAACAAAGTACTAGCCAGGAAATGTAAAAGATAAAAATAACTTCAATTTTATACTATAGCTGGTTAATAGAGAGGGTTATAACAGCTAGCATTTATTGAGTATGTGCCAAGCACTGTGCTAACTTCTTTTGTATACATTATTTTATTTAATTTTCACTATACTCTTTGAGATAAAGATACTAATTTCCCCATTTCACCCTATATATATTATGATCTTGCTACTCAAAATGTGGTTCTCAGATCATCAGTATCACCCAAGAGCTTGTTAAAAATGCAGAATCTCAGGCCTTACCTTGTACTGAATCAGAATCTGAATTTTAATAATTTCATATACACTTTAAACTTATATGTTTTGCCCTATGGCATAGGTACCTATATTCCCATTCTACAAATATGGAGGCTAAGTTTTGAGAAGGTTCAGCTGGCCCCAGACTATACCTAGTAAATAGTGGAGGTAGTGTTTGAACTCATGCTCATCTGATTCCAGGGCCTGTAGTCTGAACTTTCATGTATCCTGCTTGCCATAGGGGATAGAGAGGGAAAACAAAGACTTTGAATACCAAAAGAGCCGACAAAATTGGGCTCGAAGTTATGTTAGAGATTTTTCTCGTCTAACATCCTCATCGTCTAGGTAAAGGAAGGGCTTTGAGAGATTTTTGTGATTTGTATCAAGTTAACACAAATAGTGGATAGCACAGCCAGTTCTAGATCGTATGCCTTCTGATTTCCTATTTATTCTCTTTCTGTAACATGGAGAGGGAACTAAAAGGAAAGGGAAAGGAAAGTAACATGAATATATTCCTTGATGGACCAGTAATCCTTCTCACCATGCTTTACAGATATTCTACTGATTTTGGTGGCTGCTGTGTACCACTTGGAACTTGTGATAATATAATTTCTCTTAAAAAACTAGATAATGGAAAGGCCATAGGTGTTCCCTGCCCCTGTTCTAGAGGGAAAATACTGCCAACCTAAAATGAGCGATAGAGCAACTCTCCAAAGTAAAGAGTTTATTCAGGAATATAAGGGCTTTGCAATCTGGGGTACGCATGCTATGGCAGTCCATAGGTGCATCCAGGGAGGTTGGGGCAAAAGGTAAGCTTTTAAAGACAAAAAGAAAAAAATCCACACAGGCTATTTTGAAACAAAGACCATTGGTTATATGAGCTTGTTGTAGGAGTTGTCATTAGCTCATTGGTGGAGTCAGCCATCGTTAGCAAATATCCTTGTCCAAGTGTCTTCTCTGGAGTAATGTGGTTTTGAGGAATTCCTTTCATTGTTCCCATCATAGGCATACCTGCATGATGGCCCCTCCTTCTTGGCCTCTTGGCTCCATTTCTATTTTTATTTTATTTTTTGGCAGCTGGCCTATATGAGGATCCAAACCCTTGACCTTGGTGTTACAACACTGTGCTCTAACCAACTAAGCTAACCGGCTAGCCCCTGCTGGCTCCATGTAGTTAGGGTTTGACATTTTAATACTGATAACTTTCATAATATATTTTGTATAAATATTGTAAAAGTCAATAATTAGCTATGTGTTACTATTTTTCTTATTAAAATGAGTAATTCTCAAGTGCTTATTTTATATTTTAAGTTTATCTTAAGTGTATCTGCTATTGCTTCTTTTAATATATTTTCCTTTTGCTTAGGTGTTGTCCGGAGGATGGAGGAACAGACGTGTGGCATCAGCATCAATGAATAGAGAATCCTCTAGGTCTCATGCAGTCTTTACACTTAAATGATAGAGTCAATGGAGAAAAGCAATGAGACTGTGACTATATGGACCTCCCTACTCAACCTGGTGGATTTAGTAAGATCTGAAAGGCAAAAAGGTACCCATGCAGAAGGGACGAGGTTGAAGGTAAGAATGAAATTATGGTCTTCAACTTGTGTGTGAATTCTCACAGGTATTGTGGGGGTTGTAAAGAAATAAGATTGCTTCTACGCAAAAGGAACAGAGATCTCTATTGTGGGGTAGGGATAGTAAATGGGGTAGGGCAAATCTGTCAGTAGCAAGAATGTTTTTATTCATGCCAGAGGGGAAAATGGTGCAACAGCCAGCAGGGTCCGAGGAAGAAAGGTGTCACATGGACTGCTTGGGGGGCATGTGGGAAAGAAGTAGTTCTTGAGTTGCTATCTGAAAAGGGTCAGGATTTGGGTAGGGAGAGAGAAACAGGGAATACATGCCCTGGAGGGATACATCTAATGGGTTATTGTGGATGCAAAATGAGTATAGCATTTGGCATTTCAGCATAGGTCAGTGATGGGTTGGTTAGAGGGGCAGGTAGGCTCAGATCATCAAGGACCAGGAGTGCCAGGCCAAGTTTTTACTCAGCTATCCAAACACTGGGAAAACTTAAAAGATTTGAGCAGGGCCGGCCTGGTGGTGCACTCGGTAGAGTGCGGCGCTTGGGAGCACGGCGGCGCTCCCGCCGAGGGTTTGGATCCCATATAGAGACCGATCCGCTTGCTGGTTGAGCGCGGTGTGGGCGCAACACCGAGGGTTGCGATCCCGTTGCCGGTCGCGGTAC